AGCTTGATCCCTCTTGACCACTCTAAATAATTTAAGCCATCGAGAGGAATAACAGCCATGGGAAAGGATAGGTCCACACCCCCACTCATTCCATTCGGCATTGAGGAAACACTGGATGTAGCAGAATCTTCACCACTCATGATTTTAGATTCAGAAAAACACTCTTAAATGGGGTACACAGCCTTAAAAAAATTTTAACACTGAGGGAGAAAGGAAAAAACCCTTTTTTTCTTCGGAAACGCACCTCTTTTTGTAAAAACACATGTGCTGTTACAGCACTAACAGGTCATCCCTTGACCTATAGAATCAACACAAGTGTCACCACAGTGCATACAGGTCATCTCTTGACCTACACATCAACAAGACGGCTGTTACAGCAAGTACAGGTCACTTTCTGACCTTCAGTTCACCATAGAAGCTGCTGTTGCAGCACACAAAAGGTCCTTACGACCTACAGTTTTACAGGGATCAGCCGACCCCACAAAAAAGGAAAGAAAGGGGTGCTGATCACCTCACATCCAATCAGCAGACCTAGTACAGGTTCTGCCCTGACACACGACCAGAAAAAAGGAGAGAGAGAAAAGTTACTTCAGTGCGTGAGATCTTCAATCAGCCGAACAGCAGATGAGGGCGGCAGATCTGGAAATCTGGTGCAAAGGAAAACTGTTCACTCGACTTCTCCTTTCAGATCTGATAGACCTGCTCTGATACCATGTTATGCAGGAGAGAAGAATGGAAGAAGAGAGAAGAGAGAAGAGAGAATTGAGAGCCAAAAAGGTACTGCTGGCGGCTCCAGCTTTGATATATATACTAGGGTGACAGAACATAAAAAATAAAAGAAGAAAATTACAAGAGTACCCCTGCGGTAATATACTTGAGACAAATAACAGTCTTTTAACAGAACTCATTGATTATGAATTTGAGCTCAGCTCTTATATAATATCAGTATAATAATAATAATAATATTATTAATGTTTTGTATTTAACATGATATACATAACCTGTCATTAATATTAATTAAGAAGAAGAGGTTCATCAAAGAAAAGAAAATTTAATTTTCTATTTTGTAGAATTTTTAGTCTTAGATTGTAGTTATAATGTTTACCAAAAAAATTTGTGGTTATAATGCTTAGTAGAGAAAAGACATCATTTAGAATTCTCACCTTTTTGAGAGGTTTTCATCAGATAATGCACAGAAAACTGCTCATGATCTTTGGCTGTACCCAATAAATCAAAGAAGTGCAAAGGTATTTTTTTTCTTGGCAAAAAGAACAAAAGATATGCATTGGTTTCCTCTGGTATGACAGGGAAGAGTTAGAGTTTGAGCTTTAAAATTATTTTATAGTATCTTTTTAACTAGATTTTCTTCAGTTAAAATTAATCTAGTAATTCATGCAACATCCCCTGGGGGGGGGGTGTTGGTCTGCCATGGGCTTAGACAATTATGTCTAACATCAGAGTAATTTCTTGTTTTCTGGTTTAGTTTTTGAAGGGGTATATTGTAAGTTTTCTTGAGCTATATGATCTCAATCTCTTTGATTTTTGTTTTTTTTTTTTTTTTACTTTTCGTTTATCAATAAAGCATCATTGATCTGTTAGTGATTAAAATGTAATAGTTCCTTGATTGGCACTAGGATCAACTTTTACTGCTAAGTAGCATTTTTTTGAAGATGCAAGGCATTGTATTAAGTAAAACAAGATATACAATTTTTGTCCATGTACTATTTTTTTTATTGATGAATAGCATTAAGATTGCCCATTTTTTGTTCCATCTTTTTGTTATGTATTTTTTTCCCTTAATTTTTCAGTTGGTATCATCGGTACCATCCCTTGTAAGTTGTAACATCCAAAATACTTAAGACTAATATTAAGCATCTTTAAAATCACATCTGTGATTAAAATTACAAATCAAGCTCTTGGTTCCTTTTTATTGTATCGTATAATTATCCACCTTTTTTTTTTAATTTCTTTTTCCACTTTATTTTCAAAAGGTATTTTTGGTTTATTGGCTTCCAATATCAGCTTACCGTGTGGTACAAGGATAATGACCTAGCCTGTTTGTTCTATTCCCTTTGCTCTCTCTCTCTCTCTGACTTAATCTTTATTATCTGAAGAAAGAAAAAGGATTTATTACAAGTACATTGTGCTGTGCAAATGTTTTTTGCTCTTCTTATTTTTTGTGTTTCTGGCAACAACTACTTTATGATTCATATGATACAAGTACATTGTGCTGTGCAAATGTTTTTTGCTCTTCTTTTTTATTTGTGTTTCTGGCAACAACTACTTCATGATTCATATGATTTATTATTTGCAGGATGACATATTACCCAAATTGATGACAAATACAGGCTCATATGAGGATCTTTTCAGAAAGGAGATATCAAAATATGATCATATCTGTGAAGATATTGCCCAAAATATTGAAGCACAAGAACAGCTATTGCTGCAGATTCAGGTTACTCCTAGCATATGAATGGTTTTCTTCTGTGGAAAGTGGATTATTGCTGATATAATGATATTTGCAAGATTGATGTAGGGCCACCTACTGGACATTCTTTTGTTGAAATTTGTCTAAAACTAGTGACTGAGTGATCACTTAATGCTGCATTCATTACAAGGAATGCTTTTTTATTCATACTTTTGGGTTATATTAATATTTCATTTCTGCAGTGCTTGTTTCTGTTAAGTAATAATTCTAGAATTTTGTTATAGAAAGAAGAAAAGAATGAAATATATGTCAAAATCAGACATCATTATGCTGATATGTTCAAACATCCTTGTTTACAGGCCCAAAATGATGACTTTTCTGCGGTCTTTAATCTTGAAGACTACAAAGGTGGGCATCATCCACTATTGCAACAGATCTTTGTGGAGTTCTTGAATGAATTTATTACTTATTTGTTATGGATTGTTTGTTCTATAATTTTCACTGAGAAAGGACCAAAGAAAGACATGCATTTACACTGATCATGTGTTTGTGTGGATGCTCAAATACACTTTGTTCGGTTATATATACATATTCCATTAGTTTACTTTGTAAAGCAATTATGTTTTGACAAGTGGCTATGTATTAAAACCATGGTCTATTTTTAGTTTCTTCACATTATTTTGGTTAATTTGAAAATGCACTTATTGTCCAATATGGCATGCTATATTTATGCAAGTAATGAAAAGCAATCCTTCCCAAGTATGTATTGAGTATGTTTTGATGAAAGCAATCTTTAGTATTGACTATGACACTTGTCTTTCTTTTTTCCTTTCTTTTTTTAAAGACTTGGACACTTGTTAATTTTTTCCTTGCCTGCAGGTGTGATTAATGTTCATCTTTTACAACTCAATTAGAAATAATCTTCAAAGACCACGAAATCACAAGCTTTGCACTACTTTTTGTTTTTTGTTTTTTTGCTTCATGGGGTAACAAAATTGGGAGGGGGGGGGGGGAACCCCATCCCCATCCCTTAATCCCCAACCCTGGTCTCTGACACAATTAGTCAGATATCCTACCAATTGAGATTTTGCACTGCTTTCTTTTAACATGTTTTACAGTGCTGCTTCTCATCTTACATGATGCAGTCTGTAAAACATTTCCAGTTGTGATTGCTTATACGTTTGCCTCCATCATAGGCTAGCTGTCACCCCAGTCCATGAATTTTGACTACCAATTACCTTAAGAGGTCTATCAATATGGTTATGTGGTGATTTCTTTTGATAAATAGGTTATGTGGTGTTTTTCAATAATGTTATGATTTCCTATTGATCATATTAAGTTTCCATTTTTGGTACATTCATAGATGAATGTTTTTGATGGATATTTTCTATATTCCTTTTTTTTTTTGTTTCAGCTTCTCGTGAGAAGACCTATAAACAGATTGCAGCTGCCATATCAAAGTTCCGAGAAATCAGGGAGAACATCAATGAGGGACTGAAGTTTTATGTTACCCTTCAGGTAACAAAGTTAATTTTTGGGATATACATTTCTTAAGGTCTATAAGACATCAATGTTTTAAAAACCGGCCCAGAGGCCAAACTGTTTTTGCCTTCGGGTCATGGCTCACCAGTTCGACCATCCAGGTCGAATGGGTCAGACTCAGACTGTGACATGTCAGCATATGTATATATATGTTTATTTGTATTCTTTTTTGATATGTATATTTATGTATCAATAAAAATGTATAATTATTTTTTAGATGTAACATATGTATATATAAATATTATTTTATGTTTAATTCATATTTTTATTTCAGTTTTTAATTTTTATTTGTAAAAAATGCTAAAAATTGAACATCTGAATGCAAAGTTATGGCCTCTGGGAGTTTGCATCTACACTGAGTGTGCAACCCATTACCCGGTGAGTGAGTTGAATGGGTCAACGGTTAAACCATTCAGGTCGGACAATTTTTGACCAAATGGAAGGTTTCATGCAAACCGGACTTGGAATTTTGATTGGGTGACGATTTGAATGGTTCAACTGGTTGGGTCAACTATGGGTTGAAAACACTAAAACATTCTATAGTAATAGAACTTAATGCCTAATTTTATTGCTTGGCACTTTACATCAGTGTGTGGGTTATGTGTGTCATGACAACAAATTAGACCACAATGTAGGCGAAAGTCATAGCTGATAAAAAATAAATGTAGGAAAAAGTCATATGCTTTGCCTAGACAATGTCTGTGAACATTGCATGTCTTGTACTTTGGACAAAGCTTATTCCAGTATAGGTGTTATTTATTTACTTTTTTGAGTTTTCTTTATAAAAATGAATCCCTATTCTCTTTTAGTATATGTTTGGTACCATGGTCGTTTCCTGAACAAACACCACCATGTAGGTGTTTTGACTTCACCTAACCAAAACCTTATTTGGTTGGGCTAATTCAAGTAGAAATGGTTGAACTGCCTTCTTTTACCTTGGGTTATGTGGAAGTGACTTTTTGCTGGAAACCTCTTTTTGATGTTCTTTTCTCTAAGGGAGCATTTAACTTGGTGTCCATGTGGTGTATGTGTGTATTAAACAACAGTAAACAAATTTGCACCTGGTTATGTGCAAAACTATACCACTTTACTGATTTCCAGTACTGGAGTCAAGCACAAATGTTGCCAACCAAGGTACCAAACACCTCCTTAAATAATAATGAAGACAAGTTGTCTATGAAAGGGATGGATCAATAATAATGTGGTATGATTTATGTATCAGGACGCAATTATAAACATAAAGCAACAGTGCAGTGATTTTGTGACGACAAGAAACACCCAGTGCCGAGAAATGATTGAAAGTGCACAAAGACAATTGGCGGGTCTCAGTTTCCAGGATAGCAAGACTAGCACACGCTACAACAATTACTCTTCGGTTGGGCAACCGCATCAAAATCAGAGAATCTCTCAGCAGTCAGATCCGCAGATCACATCAAATCCTTCACGTCCCCAGACACCATATTACCAGCCGGCAGAGCAGCCATTGCCAGCGGGATATGCTCCTTCTCGTCCCCCATATGCTGCCCCACAGCAACAGCCAACACCACCACCACCTTACCACATCCCAGCCACCACCAATCCTTACCAACCTCAGCAGCCTCAGCTACAGCCAGTTCAGTACGGACAACCTGCTTATCCTGGGTGGCGGGGGTCATACTACAATACCCATCCACAGCAACCTGGAGTTCATCCTCCACCTCCATACACCATTCCGTCTCCATACCCTCATCAAAGTGGTTACTACAGACCCCAGTGATGCGGCATCTGTTTGTCTTTTCGTTTGATTTGATTGTTTTGTGTATTATATTTCATTACATATTTAATGATTGGGATTCACCTGGCTTTGAAATTTCCAATTTTGGAGGCTCGGTTTAGTGTGGCTGCTCATCTTTTTATTGTACAGGTTGTGGCAACTCATTTTTTAATAATACATGCCTAAGCATAGCAGGATATGTTAAGACTTTTTTTTTGGTACTCTGGAATGTTAGACTTGGATTCTTAGAACAATCATATCTATTGGACGATGAATGATGTACCTTTTAACGGTCCTTAAATTTGAATTCAATATCTAATAAGAGGTGCTTCTTGTGTATTTATAATCATGCTTATGCATTGAAACACCTAAATAATGGTATAGGTTATCTTCGGTTGCGTGAATATATCGTTTTGGCCTGGTTCATGAGACGTATAATTGTTCAGTTCATTGTGGGCAGTTTTTGTTCACAATATTGTGGACAGGGATCGTCCATTTTCTAATATATCGTCCAGGTAAAACTCATGAATGGGGACCATCCATCCATGGTGGGATTATAGTCCTGATTTGATATGTTGTAACATCCCTTAGAGCACTGTTAGTGTTTATTGACAGAAGTTGTCCAGTACCCAATTGCCTTGTATATACGATTTCTACTCGTTGAGAGACGTTTTGCTCTCATTGTGCTGCTTGAAAGTATTCCAAGGAAGCTAAAAATGGGTTTTGGGTTGAATAATAGGGATATTTTTGGAGCATTAAAAGTGGGTCAAATATAACAAAGGGTAAAATAGTAATCCACTAACACCCGTTAGTATGTTTAATGTCAAGTTATTGACATGGGTTCCCTAGACGTTTTGAAAAGTTATGGTGAATTTAAGAGATGCTGAAAAGTTATTTTTTAGTTTATTTTCCTTCTGATTTTTTAGTTTATTTTTAATCATTTTTAATATTTGAAGGTAATTATGATAATTTTTTAACATTGAACCATTTTCATTATTTTTTGTTAGTAAAAATATTTGAAGATAAAAAAGTAATTGCTTTTAAATTATTTTTATTAGCTTTTTGTTGACAAAAATGATTTCTATTACTAGATAAAGGTATATTCTATATATTTTATCCTCTAATATTTGGCATATATGACAAATATATATTTTTATATTTATTAGTAGTTACATGTTAGTGTTTTATTTTATCCATTGTTATTTTGTATTATTTTTCAATTTATTTTAAGATTAAAATATAAAAAAAAAACTCATTTGTGATCAATTATGTAGATCATCTCACAAATTATATGTGAGACATATGGAATCATTATCTCTAGAACGCCCATTTGGGTGTGGACAATTTTAGTCCACACATTTTATCCATAATTCAGAACAATTGTAAACATTATAGTGTAAATTAATCCCTGTTATAATGTAGTGTGAACTAGTTCACACCCACCAATTTTTCATTCATGTCACAAAACCCATTACTTGTTAACAAATAACAATTAGTTGTTGATAATTTAAAACGTGGTTCTGACCTAATGACAAAGATCTTTAGGTGTCCTACTCTAAATCTAATTGCAGACTTGCAGTTGCCAGTTTTGACTGTTGATGCCATCCAGGCATAGTGAAAGTGAGCCCGAAAGCGATGAAAAACAGTCCCAGAATTGATTTTCCCATCAGCTAAATTTTCAACAACTCTTTGACAAAAGAAAAATGAAGTGAAAGATGCTTTGACTGCCATTATATGTGAAATCAGTTCTGCTGAAAGGTTATCATTAACACTTTAACAGTGCCAGAGAAAAATTTGAACCATAGCTCCATACTCCATTGCAAATCCACAATATAATTAAATGGTAGCGAAGTTAGTATTATTCAATTAGAATTCATTTAGTAATAGAGAAACATTTGATTGAAATTTCTAACCCAATCAACCCACTTGTAACCCATCCATCTGTACCGTGGGTTGAATATGAGTTGAGGCACCTTTGGTCAAATAATTTGGTTTGTTTGGGTACTTTGGTGAAGAGTACCCACGAGGTTGAAATGTTGAATACACCATGGCGACGTAATGTTTCAGCTTCCCAAATTTGCACTGTGTTTTTGGTTGTCTTGCTCTCCATGCAGATTGAAAATCATAAGTCTGGATCTCCTGCCCACAAGGATTTTGCTTTCGTCACATAATATCACAGCCACACATGAGAAACATCTCATCTTACTCCATAATATTATGCATGGAGAGATGTTCACAATGCATAAAAGTAATGTGTTGTGGATAGAGTTCTCGTAGGCAGGAGATTCAGAATAAAAAATCACATGCAACTTAAAGCGAAAGAGGGGGTCAATACCAAAAGGTTTGATATCTAAAAAACTTCTAACCAATCAGATGGTATTGATCAAATCTCAAGGTGGGNGTGGGGGTGGGGGAGTTGATTGGTCAAACCTCATACCTTTCCATCATTATAGATTTGAGAATGTATTGCCAACCGGAAAGTATCATTTACCATGTGCTATTGTGCTTTTGAGAGGGGTGGTGCAATCCACTGACTGTTAGAATCATCCAACCCTATTCTTCACAAATTTGACTAACTACCCCTACTGTTTAGCTAATTGACTAATTCTACCTTTACTATTTATATATTGTCTTAAAGTATCCCCAAATTTCATGACAATTGTCATTGTTTGTAAATCTTAATGGAAATGACAAAATGTCAGTTTTACCCTTCCATTAAATCCTATCTCAAAAAGGATAGCATGTCGAGGGAGAAACTCCATTACATGTGTAAGTAGGATAAAGGCTAGGTTGGGGAAGTGGTCTCTTCGAAAGACAGAGAAGAATTGAAGGTTAGAGGGGATTAGATTTCAAGCTAGGGCATCAAGCTCAGGTGGTAGAGTTGGGAGTCAATGATAAAGGTGCTTGATTGCTAAATGAATTCCATTACGAGGAGGATCTCTATTTATGGGAAGAGTTCCCGAGATCCTGAAAGGAAGGAACTAAAGGTGCTTGTTTTCTATTAGAAAAGGGAATATTGGATTTGCTGTCAATCATCAAGGGCACTACTGGGGTTTCACCACGTGTCCCTATGGGGATCTTTTCGAGGATTGGCTTTCCTTTCACTCAGGAATCCACATAACTCACGTGTGCTACTACCTCTTGTGTGCCTTGCTTAATTGACGTGGCACTAGTGACGTCACCGTCTGGCGAACAACGCCTTGTTAGACTTACGCGACTCTTTTCCATGTTCATTTCCTTGACATTATGCGCATGGGTGGCATGTGGATGCAGTTCCTTAGTGGACCAAGGTGCTGCGGTGCTTAAGGGTTTATCGCAAGGCTGAGTGCATGCGAACCCCATCGCGGGTTCAGCCTAGGTTTGCTTTGGTTCGAGCTACGGATGGGCTCGTCAAGAGCGTGCAATGAACCGCAAGCTTATCGCGGTCCTGTGATGGGCGCTGTGTGTTCATCGCAAGCCTGTGATGCATCGCGGGTTCATCGTAGAGGGAAAGTTGATTGCAGGCTGATCGCAGGCGTCCATGTGGTATCAATATGGTGTTTACTGTGCTTTGAGGGATTGAGTGAGCACTATATACATACAACATGCAATGGTTACCATTGTAATTTCCAACCAACAAAGAAACTGAGGGGAGTTTCAGAAGGAAAACCCAAAAATCAGCAGCCCAGAAAACCCCAAAATAAACTTTTCTAGCTCATTCCGATGAGTTTGAGGCGAGTTTCAGAAGGAAATCCTAAACCCAAAAAACCCAAAAATCAGCAACCCAGAAAACCCAACATAACTTTTATAGCTCAGTGTTGCCATCGGAGACAAGACTAAATGCACAATTCAAATTAGAGAGGTTACCTCTAGGGGTGGATTCGAACTGAGCCAAGCTGAGCCGAATATTTGGCTATTCGAGCTCGGTTCGCAGGAATTGTATCAGACTCAAGCTTGAGCTCGATTTAAGCTCGAGTCCGGCTTGGTTCATAGCTTGCAAGTTAGAGCTCAGCTTGGGTGGAGCTTGACTATAAGCCGGGTTTCTTTTGAAAAATAAAAAATATATGTATAAAATTATTTTTTATGTTTTAGACAAAAAAGTAAGAATTATAAAAAATATTATTATATATAATAAAATTATTTATTATATATATTTATATGTATGTATGTATGTATGTATGTATGTATGTATGTATGTATGTATGTATGTATGCATATATATATATATAATAAAAATTATTTATTTAATATTAGGCTTGCGAGCCTCACGAGCTGAGTTTCACTGGGCTCGAGCTCGGTTCAATTAGCAAACGAGCCTATATATTAAACTCAAATTCGGCTCAAAACTCCTTTAAACCGAGCTGAGCCGAGCTTTTTACGAATCAAGCTTGAATAAGTTGTAAAAGGTTCGGCTTGTGGCCACCCCTAGTTACCTCTAGTGCCACTACTAGACATGGCTACTACATATTGAAGTGGGACGGAACCAAAGGAGATGGAGATTCGTTTGAATTGCGGCTATCCAGAAAGAAGAGAGGACATCGTCTCTCAATGTCGATGCAACCTCTTTTCTCAACCTCAATATACGTCTCAGTTTGCAGAGTTTGCAGTTTGCACTGCTTTCCTATATTATCTTGCTCAGTCTGAACTTCCGATGCATTGAACACATAGCATCATTCTTTGCAGGGCCTCATGGGTGGATTTGAGGTGAGTTTTAGAAGGAAACCCAAAACTAGAAAACCCAAAAATAAGAAACCCATAAAACTTACCCTCTTTGGTGTAGCCCTTTCTATTTCGGCTACACTGAATTGAAGCCTTTCGAACCCATTCTAGAACGAGGACATGATGTTTGTCCTTGAGCCCTTAGAAGATTATCTGATGGCCTTTGTGGAGGATAAATACGGCTAGGAAGAGACGAAGTCCTGGGTCGGGTAATGATTCCAATGATGGCAATAATAAAACGAAGGATCAATGATAAGCCAGTGGTTTAGCCTTGACATGCATTACAACTTCACCAAATCCAAGGTTTTTGCTGGGTGTGGGTCGGTTCATATGAGGGGCCCACCCCACTTATACATGCTCCCAAAAGGAGCCGTATAGTAGAAGCCAAAAAGGCTTCCATCTTTTTCATTTTTTGTTATGCTCTCAATCGTAACCACAGTAGTAAGACGCGAGGGAGAAGAAAAACAGAGGAGAATCTAGGATTTTATGGGTTTTGAGTTTTGTGAAGAAGAAAAGAGAAAGCTGGTTTTTATTCTATTCAAGACTAAGTTTGGAGAGGTCTTTTAAGCCCGTTCTTGATGAGGTTAAGTGTTGGAGTTAAGAATCTTTCTCTAATGCAGATTTGTTGATTTTTTCTTTTCTTAGTTCAGATTTACAGCAATTTGGTGAGATCTAAACCTCTATCTTTGTTTGTCCACCTTGCATTTGGTGATGTTAATGCTATTCTTGTGAGTAAAAGATTATTTCCTTGATATTTGTAATCCTCTAGTTGCAATTAGAGAAGACCGTTGTATCCATTAATTTCTGAATTAGTGGAAGACTTTTACGGATCATAGGTCCTGTGGTTTTTTCTCCAACTTTTGTGGTTTTTCTGTAAAAAATTTTAATATGCTATTGTGTGGTGACTGCTATCTATTTTTCTGTTACTTGGCTGAACTGTTTATTTGTTATCATTGTTGTTGGCAAACCCATTTTGACATACAAACTTAGGAGAAAGGTCTTATTGTCTTGCAATTGTTTTATACTCATTTCTGCTACTATAGTGCATCTTTCCCAACAGTTTTGAGGTTTGGTTCACGAATTCATCTCTAGCTATCACTTGGGATACCCTCCCTATTGTCGCCGATGGCAATGAATTACTTGATGAGGGATAGTCTCACTTACTTGGCTTATAAAAAGATGGATGGAGGGTAATATTAGGTTTTAAAAAATTTTTATACACAGTAATATCACATGAATTTTGACGTAACATTAACGGATAGTAACAATCAAAGTAGTTAATTGGTAGAAAACTTACTCGTACTTTGTATAAACAAGATAATTTAAGAGGAAATTTGTAATGTGAGATTTTACTTTCTAACACTACTGAGTACTGTCTACTATGTATCCTTATCTTCCGTTTTCCTTGTGCCTAGTTATCGATGGTCAGGACCTATCATCTAAGATTTATACAAGAATTCTAATCCCATAATTATCTTGAACCTTTTCTTATCCACTGCTCTAGAAAACTAAAGTATTATTTTACTTTTTTTCCTTTCTTAAATCATATCAAATACTATCAAATAGATAAATCTAGTCAAATGAATAAAGGGTTCACTTCCCATTATATTACTTTAGGGTAGAAAGTACTGGGACCCATCTTGAAATCATAAGATCAGTTTAACAGTTCAAATCAACGGTGACATGCCCTTGTTTCCATTCTCAGGTGACACCTGGGCCTTTTTTCATTGTTAAACCCACCCATAGACTTTTACAATTTGTACAGATAGAACAATAGGTTGGTGAATGAATCAAAGTTCGATAATAAATCCTAGGTGGAGGTATTGGTAAATATTTGGATAATAAAAATGCCTGAGGTGGACTGAATTTTAAATTTCAGTTTGGTTAGATCTGCCATAGAATCAATCCAGAAAGCTTAAGGCTCGTTTGATTTGTAGGAATAGGGTTCTGGCATCAGAATAGGAATTTTCCATTCCAATTCCAACTGTTTTGGGTTGGGTGGAATTGGAATCTCATTTCCATTTCTGGTGGGTAGCATTCCCCCATTCGATGGAATGCCCATTTCCACTTCCTTTATTGGAAATAAAATCCTATTCCATCTGCTTTTAATTCCTATTCTAATTCCTATCTGAAGCAATCAGATTATGAAATAGACCATTCAAATTCGATTCTGATGGATTCCAATTCCAATTCCGAATCTAATTCCAACTGTAAACCAAATAGACCCTAAAATTTTTCTTTTTGGTATTAATTGCAGAGAAAGCCTAGAAGTTTAATGCCTTGAATCAGCCCAAAGGAGGAAATATTTCATCACAAACAGTTTGATACTGGAAATGTGTATACATAGATTTGGAAAGTTTCAGACTGCTAAATACATTGCATGCATATATGCAATGGGCTTATTATTTTAACTGTCATTCTCATCCAAACAGCTTTTAATTGCGCTTGAGATAAGTTACAAACAGCTCATTATACTTCTCTGTGAAGCTCGGCATCTTACCTAGTTCTTCAAGTTTCTGCCGGTACCTGTCGAAGACTTCGTCAACAATTTGAGAACCAAAGTGTTTGCATACCGTGTCTCCAATTGTTGCTCTCACATTGAGGCTACGAATTCTTGCATGTTCACTGGTGTGTAACATGGGTGAGATGCATAAATTTTCCATTCTCTGTATGCTGAAACTCCCATTTCGTTCTATCACTTCTTTCAGTTCAGAAGCAGTTGGGAAGAAGATAGGTAGATTGAAGGAGTCCACAAGAGCTTCATTTACAAGGCCCTGCAGCAAAGTAATTCTTTTTTACATTCTATGGGATTATTTATCAACCTAAGAGGCCTGTGTATTTCTACTATTTGATAAATTCTACACCACTGCAGCCCACAAGTTATCATGGTTTGAACTAATAATGGCTATGGTTGCAACTTGGGCTGTGTTAGCTCCAATCCAGTCTGAAAAATTAGGGTTGACTTGAAGTTCAGGTTAATTAGGGCAAGGGTTGAAAAGTATGAACCCAACTTCGGGTAGGTTTAGAGTCTTAGGGTTGAGGCCTTGACCAGCCTGATCCAAAACCTGACTTATTCATTTTATAAGTACTTAATTACTATTCATGCATATATGCATATGCAATTCTGCATCCATAAATGCATATATCTAAATAGGGAAAATCTATGATGCCGAAAATGTATGGTATGGGAAGAGTTTTGATCAATCAAAACCTATCCATGAATAATTTTGATAAATAACACATGATTGACTATCACGTTTATGATTCCAGTTGACTGATCAAAAGTTTTTCAGATATCATATCTTTTCCATATCATAGTCGAACCCATCTAAATAATTGTGTATTTTCTCGCTACAAGTATTTATGTATTTATCTATCTATATATGCATACGTGCATATTATATATAAAAAAAATTTAAGTTTAAAGGCAATTTTTTTTTTCTAAAACATGATAACTATGTTCTTTACACATAATGTTGTTAATATTGAATTAATATGAGGCCTTGGAATCCAGAAAATAAATACATTTTGCAAAAGGAAGTAAAGAAATCAGATCTGAGACCAACCCAAGCATAACTGGAGTCCAACCTAAACCCAACCCCAAGTTTTAGGATTGGGTTAGGGGTTCAACAACTCAGGTTGGGTTAGGTTTGACCTCAATCAGACCTAGGGGTGACAATTGGACTGGATTTGGTCCAATGTGAGTCCATTACAAATGGATCAGGTCCAATTCAATCCAATGAATATTTTGGACTGATCCAATTTGATGTCTGGACTGTCCAATCTGTTGAAATTTGTTTTAATTTAGATTAATTAGTTCCAACCCAAATCTGGTCCATTGACACCTATATTCTTATCTTTCTATCAATGGACCAGATATTGGCTCAATCCAACCCAATCCAATATAAATTCATTACGATGGACCAGGTCCAATCCAATCCAGTTCAATGGATACTTTAATTTGGACCGTTAAGTCTGAATTGGTCCAATTCAATATGTCTTATTGGTCTGTCCAATCCGTTCAAATTGATTTTGGTTTGGATGGAGTCCAACCCAAAAACCAGTCCAACTAACACCCCAACCCGACTTAATCCAGCCCGACTTGTACCCCTGCCTAGCCTAATAATGGCTCTCGACCGGGTTTTTGGCTCATCAGTTTATGTCTCGGTGATCAGTTCCAAAACTGTGCAGCGAAATCATCCGAGACGTCGTCTATAACTGTTTCTACATTATTCATTACAGCGGTGGTTGGTTCAGGAATATGATCGATCAGTTGTGAATATAGGAATGATCCATTTCAAAGGACAGCTAAACAGATAATCTAAATGACTCCAATTAATCCTCATTTCCATTACTACAACTCGATCTTCTCTAAACTTCAATTATCAACATGGCGGATTCCTCTTGCATGCATGTGTGTGGACTGTGGAGAGAAAAAAAAAAGTGTATTGATCACTGGAAAAATTAATTAATTACCTGCTTAGTCATATCCATGAGAACAGATCCCAAGCAGTTGACGATTTGAATAGCCACAGAGTCAGCTGGGGCAATCCCTTCTGGGCGGCCTGCAATGAGAAGAGTCATTAACCCTCCAGAAACCATCTCGTCTGCCCTAGCAACTAAGAACTTCTCCATGTCCTTTCCAAACTGAGCAGTGTAGGCCTCCGACACTTGATGCGGTGCATCTACGTAAGAAATTCTCCCTTTGTTCCACGCCGGAGATTTTTCATCTGTCACCTCCTTAGGAACCCTTGAGAGCCAGTGTAGAGTGTAGGAGGAGTTTATAAAGTTCAAAGATTTCTTTGGGAACAGACGGCCATAGAAAGAGCCTGGCACACCGGCGGCCATGTATCGCCTGTGTCTGTGTGAGGGAAGGTTGAGGAACAAAGTATTGAAGTCATTGGCAGCGTGGTCGTTGAAGAAGACTTGAAACTCTGGCATACTAATAGAGCTTAGGCGGCCATGACATCTGTACTTGTGCTCCACTGCTTCTATTATGTTCTCAACACATTCATAGGTATTGGGTCCCACTGAACAACCAAGATCGGCTATGCGGAAGACATGATCAGAGGCAGAAGGATCAAGATCAAGCATTTCTTGGATGCCATTGTAGACCAAGGGTTTTATACGTTTTAACCCTTCTCTCTGCATATATGCAGAATATATATGAGAATTACATATTGATCATTTTCTATGCATGTACGTGGTCATTATAATAATCACAAGTACTACTTGCAGTCTTTAATTTCTAACTCATGCCCATCTTAGGAAGGACTATATATCACAATTTAAAAATTTATATTAATTTAAAAATAATTTTAATTCTTATAATATTATTAATAATTATAATGTTATTAATTGTTAATTAGTTTTTAATAGATTTTATTTTAATAAAACCAATAATGCTACTAATGATTTTTTATTATAAAATTAAACCTAATTTAATTTCTCAAATTAAATAAGAACCCAAATCAATTTTAGCACATTTGCCCCTTACTTAAATACAGAGTGGTCATTACCTAGTAGTAATATTACAAAACCAGTCAAGGTTAGAAGTGCTGATCGGGCTGTTTCCCCCTTTTTTTGAGTTTGTTGGGTTAATATAATCAAGAAAAAGGTTATTCTCTGAAACATCTCTCCACTTTTCTTTCTCTTCAACATGTCCGTCCTGACTTTTCAATACCTCCAAAAGATCCCCCATGTGGTTAAAAGGCCAATAGCGTTTGCAAGTTTATTTATAATGAATCAATTATGCCCCTCTATTCAATTTATTCTTTGAACCAAAATTCCGAAAATAGGTCTATTTATTCACTCAAATTGAATTGTTGGTGGATTGTGGGATAAGTGAACATGCATGAAATAAAACTTGGGATCTCCTCCGATAACAAAAACAGTCCGGACACGGTTCCAACAACATCTGTGTCCGCAAATTTCACCATGAGATTGGGATCCACTATGCATGAAATATTGTGCAGACATAGATTATATTGGAACGTGTTGGGAATGGTTTTTAGTTGGGAGGAGATGGGAGTTTATGAAATAGCAGAGACAAATAAATCAAGGGAATTTTTATCAATAATTAGTTAATAGGATAGAGTAGTTGGACAAGGTTAGCTTCGTTCTATGATAAAGAACGACTCAGAAATAAAATTGTTTTGGCTACCGGTTTTTGGGTTGATGGTTTGATCGTCCGGTTTGAATGGATGGTTCGTTTTGACAAAAAAATAAAAAATAATTAAAAATAAAAAGACTAAAAACTGTTGAATCAGTCAACAACTCATTGATCCATTCAATGGTTTTTGGCCAGGGACCGAGTTTGGGGTAAAATGGAATTGGTTGACTGGACAATTCCTGGACCGAACGGTCTGACTGTTCGGGTCAACGGTGGTTCGAAAACCATGCTATGACAAGTATGATAAGTTACAAGAAGAGTTTTAGATAAACTATAACAAACATGGATAATTCTTGAGAGAGCTTATTGAGAGTTAGACTTGCACATGTTAGTTGGCACATCAGTTCTACCAGTTCTATTAGCCCCCTGCAAGTTGAACGGGGCAATGTGAAGCTTGGATGCATCTCGAGCCGACTAGAAGGTAGAGATTTGGTAAATATATCAACAACTTGATCAACCAAGGGTATATACTAGACGCAAAGCCTCTTGCAAACAAGAGAGATCACAGAGTAAATGAAAGTCAAGATCCTTGAGAAGTATAGCCAATGTTATCACATTAAACCACAGGAGGAGGAGAAGTATAGCCAAGATCCTTGAAAAAAAGATTGAATTCATAGAAATTCAATGACAAAGTTGGCAAGAGAACAAAACACTGACTCGGTACTAGAGCGGGTAATAATGGGCTATTTCTTAGAGCTCCAAGCAATGAGATTTCAACCCAAAGAAATTGCATAGCCTCTAATCGAACGCTAGCCATTTGAACAACTAGCCCAATCGACGTCAATGTAATCGGTGAGTTGAAGAGATGAAGAGATGAAGAGAAACTAAAGTGAAGCCCATAGTCAAGTTGTCGTCTTCAAATAACACAAAATTCTTTTTACAGCAATCCAGTGTTCACCAATAGGTGAATGCGAGCTAGCAAATTTTATTGAAGCAAGCAATATATTAGGTCTTGTAATGGTAACATGCTACAGGGATCCAACAATGCTTCGATATTCAGTGGGATCAGATAAGGAAGAACGGAAATGATGAGAGAGGTTATAGGAGGTTACCATTACAGTAGATAGAGGTCTGGCGCCATCTAATTTGGCTTAGCGCAAGAGATCTTATAATGTAGTGTTGCTGAGATAGAACCAAACCATTGGGAGAGAAGTGGGCTTCTATCCCCAAAAAATAATGCAAAAATCTCAAGTTCTTGAGAGGAGAATAGCACACAAAGAGTAAAGAAACTTATCATTGGTTGTCATTTACATAATTAGCATATATAGACTGGTATCATAACAATCAAAGATGAAGAGAGAGGGATTAGGTGTTGAATTTTGAAAGCCCATGCCAAGAAGAACAGAGCTAAACCGAGAATACCAAGCCCGAGGGGTTTGGCATAGACCATAGAGAGCTTTTCGAAGCCAGCACACATACTCCGGATGAGAGGGATCTTGAAGCCCTTAGGTTGACATACATAGATATTCTCATCAAGAACCCCATGTAGAATATGCATTACTAATATCTAATTGCTGAATTGGCCAAGAATGAGAGACTGCCAGAGCAAGGATTGTACACACAGTAACTAGTTTGACAACTAAGCTAAAAGCATCAAAGAAATCCAAACTGGGTATTTGATGAAAGACTTGTGCAACCAACATGGCTTTATAATAGTCAAGAGAACCATTAAACTTTTTCTTCAATTTGTACACATATTTTGTTCCTACTACATCCATAGTAGAGTCATATGGAACCAACTCCTAGGTGACATTAACAATCAACGCATTGTATTTCATGCTAGTGTACAAATTTTGCCGCTTCAATGAAAGAATGTGGTTTATGCTCATCATTGGAAAGAAGAGAGAGAAGAGCAGATGGGAGAGGGTACCATGTAGCATTATGCGATCTAGGTGGAAGCATACCATCCATCGATCTAGTTCACATGGAATGATACTATGAGTTGTTGGAGAGGGAATAGCAGGATTATTATCAAGGAGCTCTTGAATACTACGATACCATACTGGTGGGTGAGAAGATTCATTAGGAGATGAGGACGATGACCCAGTTGTAGGTGATATATTGGGGTAAGATGAAGTTGGTTCAATAGGAGGAGCTAGTGAAGTATCAAAGAGAGATGATTGACCCGACAATTGCGAAAAACCTAGGAATGTAGCTAAAACATATATACTAGGAAATAACCCTTCATAGAAAATACTATTTGACAACAAATATCCACCTGGTGGGAACCAGAACACGAAGGCACTTATAGCCTTTGTGAGAATTACTATAGCCAATAAACGAGCACCGTGATGATCGAAACATAAATTTGTTCTTGTTGTAAGGTCTCAACAAAGGATAACAACCACAATTGAAAAAATAGAGCATTGAGTAATTTGGAGCTTTATGAAACAACTTCTTATATGAGGACACACCATTCAATGAGGGAGCTGAAAACTAATTAATCAAATAAACTGTAGTCTTAGTGGCATTACTCTAGAAGGAAAGGAAAAGGAGAGATTTGAGGTAACCAGTAGAGATAGAGTTGATTCAATGACATTCCTATGCTTTCATTCAATAGAGTTATTTGCTCGTGTGTAATTCCCTGATCGTATCGAAACTTTGATCCTTGAAGATATCGAACAAAGTAGTAAGTTCCTCACCAATAATGATCCAGCTTTGCTGATAGCCCAGAGCCTTCAGGGGCACGTAAGTAAATAGTGCATGCTTGACTTCAGCATATCTAGCACCCTACAAAGAATAGAGTTATCTTCTGGAAAGATATCAAAGGGAGCAATGCGGCATCAATACCGGGAGGAGCTTATTTAAAGTTAGAGAATAGATTGGCATAATAATCCTTAATGAGAGTTTCAATTGTTTGTGGGTCAAAGACCCAAACCCATATAAATTCTTCAACCAAGATATGGAGTTTTTCCATCGTCTCTTAGATACAAACCAATGGAAAAATCATGTATTGTGATTACCATGTTACAACCAGTTACAGTGAGAACGCTACTTCCAATAAAGCTCCTCTAGTTCAAGGCAATGATCCAGTTCGCTTCTTAATCTTCTCTCTTCAAATATGTTCTCAATGTTGGGGTCCCCACATTGTAATGTGAGCCTCTAATAAAAATGATGCAATTGATGCGCAAACTAACAGGTGGTGAGAGCCTCTCTCTTTGCGTGAGGGTTTCTCTCTCTCAGTAGGAGGGTTTCTCTCTCACATTTATGGAGCTCAAGATGTACAACAGTAGTAAGGACGCCCCCCCGCGCGCTATTTATATCCACAGCGGCCGGAAAGCGACGGCCCAGATCGAAGCCAATCCAACGGCCCACAGCCGCGCTAAACTGCACGTCTTCCGAGACCAATCAGCGCACGTCTTTCCGAAACTGACGGAGCGTCGCGCACGTCCTGTCAGAGGACGGGTGTCAGCACGCACCTTCTCGAAAATGACGGGGTGTCGGCGCACGTCTCCTCGCAATAAAAGCGTCTGCAGCCCAACTCCCGAACGACTGCCGTCACGKCTCCCAAACGCGCGCCCTTTTTTGAAAAGTCAAATTAAATCGAGCGCCCTCAGCACGGACCAAAACCCTCCTGCTACATTACGAACTCCCCGCGCCAAGACAGGACCCTTGTCGCAGGGAGTGGGGGGCAATTGATGAAGGAAAATTTGGCCCGACCTCGCAATCGTCCGACACGTGGCAAAGGCAAGCAACTCGGGACAGTAGAGCGCCCGAAGCGAACATCGGAAGCAAGT